TATGAGGGAGGAAATGGGAGGAGTGGGGGAGGTGGCCGGTGCCGGGCTGCGCCTGGGCCTTCGCCAGGGCCTACAAGCTGCGGCGCCACCTGCACTCGCACGAGAAGCTGCGGCCCTTCGCCTGCTCGGTGCCCGGCTGCGCCAAGCGCTTCACCACCATCTACAACCTCCGGGCTCACGGCCGGGCCCACGAGCAGGAGGCGAGCCACAAGTGCGAGGTTTGCGGGCAGCGTTTCCCCAGCGCCGCCCGCCTGGGCGCTCATCAGCGGCGGAGCCACCTGGAGCCTGACCGGCCCTACCGGTGCGAGTATCCAGGTGAGGCTGGCGGGGAGCCCGTCTCCCCCGCGGCCCTCCCGTTGGGCACCCGTGGTTGGGAGTAGCGGTGGTCGTTGTGAACAGGCCCGGCCTCTCGGAAGTCCAGACAGGCCTGGGTCGAGGGGGTCGGGGTCGGGGTGTGTGTGCCTTCAGCTGAGAGCTGCCAAAAACAGGATTAACAAAGGTTGCGACCTATTTTGAAGGTGACGTGTAGGTGAAATGGAACTGAACTGGGGTCAGTCACAATCCTGGGCATGTTTCCTCAGAAAGAAGCCCCAGGGGTTCCTTGGGGGTGTTGTTTCCAAATGGAGAGAAGACTTAAGCTTTTTAAGTCCATCTTGTCATTTCTGCACTTTTATTTTGTGGTTTACAAAGTGTATTTGTCAAGATATTTATAATTTGCAGAGGATTGAAAAGCACCTAGGTGTGTTTTTTGTTTTTAAAGACAGTTACTGGTGGAAGCTTAGTGGTTTAGGTCTCTACCGGTAGCTGCTCCTGCCAACAGCTGGGAATTCAGTTCCTCGCTGTGCCTCATTGAGAGGGGTTGCACTGGATCCCTAGGGCCCCTTCCAGCTCTGCAGTTCTAAGATTATTACCTTGTTACAAACCAGGATTTTCATCATGCTCAGTTTTTTCCCCTCATCTCTTGATGTAAGGAAGATGTTTACAATATTTAAAATATTTCAGGCAGGGAAATGCCTGAAGTATGGTAAGTGAACAATGTGGATCATCAAAAAATGATGACCAGCTTCACTTCTAAAGTCGTTTTTTTGCTGGCCAAGGAAAGTACAGTTATGTACTTGAGATGTATTCAGACGCTGCTTTTGGTGTTTCATTTGAAAGACAGGTATTACTGGGAATTTATTATAAACAACTATTATTATCTTGTTAAATGGATGAGTTCTGATTGGCAGTAACCATTGTTTTTGTCATTTTGCTATATGAAGATATATATGATTTAATTGTTCTTGCTGTACACCATTCCTGGCACCCTATAAGATAGATTGGGTGGCCATGTGATAACTGATACAGTGAAATGCAGAAGCTAAGTGAAGATTTGAAACCAGGGGTACGACTTCATTGGAAGGCTGAATTGGAAAGATACTTCATAGTCCCAGAATACAGAACATCAAAAGTCTGAACATTAAGTTTGCAAAATACATCATGATTCCCAACTCAGAATAATCACCACTTTCCATCACCCATCTATTACTCCTTTCCCTTACTTTTATGTAACACATGTAGGAATTACAGTACTTCCTCTCTGGTGACAGAAACTAATTTAAAATTATTCGTTACAATGGCTAAATAAAATCTGAAGCTTTAAATGAGAAAGCAGCTTCACAGCAAACCATGCTGTTTTGCTTTTGTATGTCCTGCTCCCGTCCTGAGCATCACATCTCAACTGTCTTATCTCACTGAAACACCACCTTCAGATATGGCCCTTTTCTTTACAAGAGCATATAATAACTAACCACATGAAAAACCATCTGTTCAAATCATTCCAGCTCGTAAAAGTAGAAACCCCACCTCACCCCAAGCAACAAAGGAAAAAAAAGCTGCTTTGGGAGTCAAAAGGCCATGCCCAATTCAATTCAATCTTAGTGTCTTGTGGTCATTAAAAAGTACTGTATTTCAAATTCACCAGTTTTATAAGTGGAGCAAATCCCACGGTATATGACCATGTGGTTGCATCCAAGTTTAGGTATATTAGTACAGGTATTTCATATTCTGTGATATAAGTGTAATTAGAATGTTTCACTTTGGTTGAAATCCTGTTGCTAGAGGTTATGCTGTATAATGATGTCATTAGCTGTAGTGATTTCTCAGAAATTAAAAAAACAAGCTTTCTCCCTAGAAGGTCCCAAATCTCCCTTGAGATCAATTTCATCATGGGAAAGCATTTGGGGCTGTGGTTTCCAGGAGAAGCATGTCTTTAATTTGCAAAAGTCACCAATGTGAGGATCATTTTACCAATAGTGGTTTAATTTTCTGAAATTAAAGACTTCCTCCCATCCTGTAACCTCCCAACAGCTTCCACACAATGAAATTGCTCACATTTTTTTGTTTCTGAAAAATAGCTGCAGCTGATGACAACATCAGCCTTTTGTGGTATAACTTAAAGAACAGGATATCAGCTTTAATGTTTTGTATGATGTTTAATATTTAGATGCTCCATGAATTAAAATTTATAATAGTATGCAAGGATGAGACAAATGGTTTTTGGTTGAGTGGGCTTTCCCAGCCTGCTCCTTCCCCATGATTAGAAAGTCAGATATGTAATCATATTGATAGGGAATGGTGGGAGGTGGGGGAAACTGGTGGAACTGAGATTTTATTTAGTTGTAACCAAAACTGCTTTAATAATAGTGGTGCCTTATTGTTGTGTGTGCACATGTGCACGAGGCAAACATTTATCCATTGCCATGATGGAATGCTTAAAAGTTGCATCTACAGAACAAATGTCTGCAAACCAAAAATAGAAGTGAGTCAAGTCTGGAAGAAAAAGAAGTTGAGTCCTAAGTGACTTTTAAGAATTTGAGAAAAATCGACACATTTTATTTTTAAATTTAAAGAACCATCTGTTGTAACCTTGGCAGTGATCTTGGTTCAGAACCACCTGTTTTACAGCTGTTGTATTAAAGAATTCTTCTGGAATGTTGTGCAACTGGCTGAGCTGTATTGACCAGCTGCATTGTCCAGGCGTGCTTTCCCCATTAAACTTGATTTGTTTTCTTTCTGCCTCCTTTCTCCAGGATGTGAGAGGACCTTCATAACAGTGAGTGCTTTATTTTCTCATAATCGAGTCCACTTCAGGGAACAGGAACTGTTCTCCTGCTCCTTTCCAGGCTGTAACAAGCAATATGACAAAGCTTGCCGACTGAAAATCCACATGAGAAGTCACACAGGTGCGAACGTGGGTGTTGATTAAATTTACCATATCAGTAATAATTGAACTGTTGCATCAAAGAGTCTCTGTGATTCTGAGGGACTGATTTTTTCTTCAAAGAAATAGAAATATCACTGACAATAAATGCTAAGAGAAATTGTAGCATTAAGACTAATCCATACCATTCCCCCCCACTTCACTATTTGATTTATTTGAATCTTGGTAACTATTTTTATGTGCATTGGTAGATAGTAACTAAAATAATGTGTAATTTGGAGCTAAATGAGAGTAACAAATGTAATCTTACCTAAGTGGGAGGGGCAGCGAATGGAACTTAGTTTTTGAGTGATTCCTATAGTGACGTTTCCTTGGATTTGGGAAATTTGACAATACAGTGGTGCCTCGCTTAACGGGCACTCCGTTTAGTGACAGAATCACTTAGCAACGACTTTTTCGGAGAGTTTTTGCGCTTTGTTTAGCGATGGTCCCTATGGGCAATTTTTGCTTAGTGATGGTTGGGACCATGCTTCACATAGTGATTAAATTTTGGGTGCCCCGTTTTGCTTAATGATGGTTTAAACGGCCTCATGTTTGCTGTTTTTTAAATGTTTTCTGTTATTTATAAAGTTAAAGTTTACTGTTTAAAATGTTTGAAATCATAAAGTGCACTTAATAAACCTTTTGTTAACCATATTTGACTTTGTTCTGAATCTTTTTTAATTTGTTGTTGTATTTTTCCCCCCATTGAGATGCATTGAATAGGTTTCAATGCATTTCAATTGAGGAACCGCGTTTCGCTTAGTGATGTTTCCTATGGCGATTTTTGCTTAAGGACGGCAGTTTGTTCCTATTGGAATGGACTATCCGGTTTTCAATGCATTTCAGTGGGTAACCGCGTTTCGCTTAGCGATGAAATTGCTTAGCAGCGATTTTTCGGAACGAATTAACATCGCTAAGTGAGGCACCACTGTATATATAGATTCCCAGGATGAGTTTGTATTTTTAGATTCCCAGGAACAGCCTATGTATTCTGTCACTCACCTTGGATCAGCAGCATTCCATTGCTCAACTCTTTAAGAACTAAATACTCTTGATCCAAGGCAAAGGGACAAAACTGCAAATGCTGTCTAAAGACATTGGAAGTCATGTGCACGGCTGACTCTTTGTCTTCTAGATGTTAAAGAGTCAATACATCTTTAACTTAAAGCACACATGCATATAAAATGATATGGCATAATCCTTTAGAATGTGGCTAAATATTCACTGCTGCTACATACTGCTCAGTCACTATTACAGTGGTGCCTCACATAACGATTTTAATTGGTTCCAAAAAAAAAGTTATGTGAAACATCGTTATGCGAAACACCATTTTCCATAGGAATGCATTGGAAACCGGTTAATCCGTTCCAGTAGGCACGGATTGCCATCCTTAAGCGAAAAAACCCACAGGAAACATCGTTAAACGATACAATGTTTCCTCCATTGGAATGTATTGAAGCTGATTCAGATTGGAAGCTGGTTGCTTTTAAAAAAAAAAAAATTAGTGACCCAGGATTTGCTGTGGCTCTTTAAGATAAAATGATAAAACAAAATTAGGAGTAAAAGAAGAACAAAGAATTTAGTAATTCTGAGCCAGTAAATTGTGTGTTTTGGGGAATGTATGGCATTGTTTTCTTCATAGAAGTGTGGTGTAGTTGAAATGTGATTTCCCCCCTTCCCCCCCTTTTCTAGGTGAGAGACCTTTTATCTGTGACTTTGAAGGTTGTGGCTGGTCCTTCACTAGCATGTCTAAGCTATTAAGACACAAGAGGTAAATGTTTTGATTTCTTGATTTTATTGATGTTAAAGAATTGCTGCACATATCCTCAAAGATTTTATATTGTGGGGAGATAACAGGGAAGAGCAGGGAAAACAAATAGAATTGCTCATAGATAGGATTTTTAAAAAATATTGGAAATGTGGCATGAAGTGCATGGAAAAGCTTTTAAGAATTCCTTAGAATAGGTGTTGATTAGCTTATATAAGAACATAAGAACAGCCCTGCTGGATCAGACCATCTAGTCCAGCTTCCTGAATCTCACAGAGGCCCAACCAGGTGCCTCTAGGAGCACACGAAACAACTAGAGACCTGTCTCCTGAGACCCCTCCCTTGGATCTGGCAGTTTGAGGTACCTTCCTTTTAAGCCTGGAGATTATATGGCTTGTAACCTGAAGTGGACTTTTCGTCCAGCAATCTGCCCAATCTCTTTTAAAGGCCTCTAGGCCAGTTGCCAGTACCACATCCTGTGGAAAGGAGTTGCGGAGACCAGAACTGGACACAATACTCCAGGTGTGGCCTTACCAGCGTTTTGTACAGTAGCATTATAATGTTGGCTATTTTATTTTCAATCCCTGTTTTAATGATCCCTAGCATGGAATTGGCCTTCACAGCTGCGACCCAAAGGGTTGACACTTTAATCGAGCTGTCCACCAGCACACCAAGATCTCTTTCCTGATCCATCACGGGCAGCTCAGAACCAATTAGCCAATAAATAAAGTTTTGATTTTTTTTTTTGCCCCAATGTGCATTACTTTACATTTTCTTATATTGAAGTGGATTTGCCATCTTGCTGCCCATTCTCCCAGGTTGGAGAGATCCTTCTGGAGCTCTTCACAATCCCTTCTGGTCTTCGCCACCCAGAAAAGTTTTGTGTCTTCCGCAGACTTGTCCACCTCATTGCTTATCCCCGTCTCCAGGTCATTAATGAACAGGTTGAAAAGCATCAGTCCCAGGACAGATCCCTG